GGTCAACATTTAAATGAAATTATCTTCAAAAAGTAAATGTCATGAACCAATCTAACGTTTCAAATAAAGAACCGATGAGATTTTGCAAATTTTATGCGTTTTTTTTTTTAAAAAAGTTATATGTACATTGCGAAATAAAATAAAACTAATCGATTCTCACTGTATGTAACCTCTTATTTTCCATGAAAGTGAATCCCAAATGGGACTACAGTTGGCTCAAAAAGTTAGGTATGGAGGAAAAAACTATCGCATTATTACAAACTACGATTTAAATAAGCAATAAAATGCTGACATTATTTATAAAGCTAAATGTGGCAGGTTAATAAACCACAAATGCTGCTGCACCCCCCACAGTGCTTCAGAAACTTAAGTGCATTGCACTTAGCCTACCATGCCATGGAAATTTTGCTCATTTTCAAAGTTAATTGCCAACACAATGAGCAAACATAAAAGTATGAATAGCCGAAACACAGCATGAATGAAACGCACAGCAACCAGTGGATGCTTGTGCTGAGGACATGCTCTTGCCGAGTTTTTGTCTAGTCGCTTTTGTTAGTGTTTGTGTATACGCAGCTTTGAAGGTCAAATGAAGGCATCAAAATTAATGAGAAGTGCCTCTATTAAAAGCGGAAAACAAAAAAACTGTTGGAATTATGTGACTTTTAGATTAATGTACATATGTATTATGTGACTGTGAATGTATGTGTGTGTGTGTAATAAAGCACAATAGTTGATGAAATTACATAATTATTTTTTATCTTTGCAGGACACACACAAACAGGCAACGGACATGAGGCGGGCACAGAGTGAACAGAGAACACGCACCTACGAGTAAGTGAAAGAAGGAAAGAGGAAAGTAAAAAAAAAGATTTAATAAATTAACAAGGAGTGAGTAATAAAAAGAAAGAAAATACACGAAAGTAAAGGCGGTAGCAGACATCAGAACGAAAAGCAGTGATAAAAGTGTTGAAGAAGGAAACTAAGCAGTATAATTATGATACCGAGAAACTAGGCGAAAGCGTAAAGTAGTTCAGTGAGTAAATTAAAAGCAGCTGAAAATGCTGACGAACAAACTAGCTAACAAAATTTAAAGTGTTGTCGGAAATTGGCAAATAAAAAAGCGCGAACAACACGCCGAACAGTAACGTTATGTTAAAAAAAATAAAATAAAAAATTGCGAACGCATAAAAAAAAAACATATATATTAAATTAAAAACGAAACGACGAAAATACTAAAAATAATAAAATATTGAAAAACAAATTTGTAATTTTGTGTAAAATAAATGCAAAACAAAGTGTAAAATGCAACTGAAAATCTGCGTAGAAAAAATCGCTTAAATTAAAAAGGTATGAATATTGGAAACCTGCGTGAAAAAACGACGAAATTGAGATTATTTCTATTATATAGAAACGATTGGCAGCGCAAATTGTGAACAAATTTGTAGAAAAAATTAAATTAATTAAAAACAGCAAGTGTCATTTGCAGCTAACGCCTGCGCCGCATCGACGTTAAATGGCGATTACATAAGATCAAAGTAGTTAAATTAAACAAATATTATGCAAAGTAAAGAGTAAACAAATTATAGTTATAAAATTTGGCAAAAAACCACGCACACATCCACAAAAGTAAATATTAGCATAACGGTATAAATAATTAGAAAATAATTATTGTCAAATTTCATACAAAACTAGCGTTTAAATAGCTGTAAATTAGGTAACGTTAGCAGCAAACAAAAAGAGCAAAAATATTACAACAAATATATACAAACAAAAACAACAACATAAACAAATCACTTCCATTTGAAATTTTGTGTAATTCAGCGCATTTACGGTAAACACAATATTTACACTGGTCAATGTGAGCTGAAACTAATTGATAGCGCATAAATTAAAAATAACAAAAAATTGAAATTAATTAACAATTGAGAAAGCAAATACAGAAACATAAAAAAACAGAAACCTAACAAAAAAAAAAAATAAAATAAATAAATAAATAAAAAAAACACAGAAAATATAATTTAAAAAACTTCTCAATGTCCCTCTATGGAAATCCTCGCATTTAAAGTTTAATACCAAAAAAAAAAAGGAGTTCCCTTAAATAAGGCAAAAAACTACCGAAATCAGCAGCAACGTACACGCACACATACATATAAGCATAAACGAAAGCATTCAGCGAAACCGCAATAACAGAATTCATTAATCAAGTAATCAAGTGTTTTACGAAGTCATTAAACCAAAAAGAAAAAGTTCAAGATCGACGCATTTTGCTTAAGCGCTCATCAAACGAAAAAGTAATTGTTTGAAAAATCGTGTAACTAAAATAAAACTCGTTCAATAATAGCATTAATATTAACATATTATGAAATCGCCTACATTTTAGGGTTATTATATTGAAATATGATTGTCTCTTACAAATAACGGTGTTGTGTGAAATAGGATTAGAGTATATCAAATAGCAACTAGAATTTTGAAGATTTTGCAACTGAGCAGCAGGCACGCCAAGAACACAAGAAGAGGTAAGTGCGCTCTAATATACCACACATAGATATAATATACATAATACTATTATGTACATAACATATAAAATATGCATAATAAATACCTATAATTTGTAGATTTCATAAATACAACTAGTTATAGTTGAAAATTACAGATACGTTTGATTTATACTTCTTTAAACCAAACTTGAGCTTTATACGTTAGTTCAAGTTACTCGCTAGCCTCAAATTCTAAGTAATTTTGACTTTAAATCTGGAACTGTACCAATTATGATGCAATCAAATTTTAAATATTTGTGTAGTACACAAAAAGACTAAAATTGTCTACTGCAACGTCGTAAATGTATATTTGATCCTTCCATCATAATGAGCTTTTAATTAAAAATTATAGCAGAATTGTTTTTCTCTGTCCCTGTTTTAAATTGCTTCACAGGAGACAAGTTTAAATATGAGTAAATGATTCTTAAAAGACTAAGCCTCAAAACACACTTAAGACTAGTGTCAAACAGATATGCCTGCCACCAACTTTGACAACTGGTTTCACAGCTATACCACTTGTAAAAGCGGTATCTCCCAAATATCACCTTATACATACATATATATTACATATAAAATTAAAAATTGCTTAAAATGCTTTTGCGTGACAGTTTCAATGACGTTTCCTGAATAACAAGCGCTTTTTTCAATTATGTCAAGAAATATGCCACAAATTTCTCAATTTCAGGCTGATTTAACAATATAAACCCAAATATCATGCCTCACCTACATATGTGCATGCCTTTGTGTGCGCTTAACCATTATTAGTTTATCAAAAATGCTTGCCTTTATCAAAGTGCGATTAACAAAAGAAAACTGAGCGCTATAACAAGAACGAAGGCATCAGCCAGAAATGTATCGACAAAACGAAGCGAAGCAAAGCATAACTCCCACACTGCTGCTCAGGACGGCTGACAGAAGCAAAGGAGATAACCAAAGAGCAGCCTAAAAGTATACTTCTGCGCATATACACACAGTGGGCACATATGTTTTTTTTATGTATGCGAGTAAAAACGAGCATGTCTTTTTACAGAATATATCACCGTAAAAATTAAAGAAAGAGGTGAATGAAAGCGCCAAGGCATGGGACGAAAAGAGCCGAACAGAGTGTCATTTACTTTCACCTCATTAAACACAAACTCGAGTATAGCTTAAGCCGTACTTCAGTACTATAAATTCCACACTACTAAATTTTATCTGCCATCCCAAAGCTCGTCTACAAATGCTGTAAATCCTCAGACAGCGGAAACGCAGGCTCTAACACTAACAACCACACCCACACATGCATACAATCAAACCCCCCGAAGCTCGTACAGATAATAATACGCGAATACGGGATTTACTTGTAGGCGCTAACACACACACACACACGTGCATTCCTACACATACACAGAGAGCAAAACTTTTATGTATTCGCGCATTAGTAGCGAACAAACACCAAGCAAAGAGCAGGAAAGTAGTGGCGAAGAAGTTTCGGGGGGACTGCGGCGCTGCAGAAATAAGTTGAAGAAAAGTGGTTCAACAGCAACAGTGCAAATTGTGTAAATAAGTAAGTGAGGCAAAGCAGCTGTGAAGTGGCAAGTGTCGGCTGAGCTGGCTCACACCCATGCAGCCCGCGCGAGCGATGCGCCAAAGCCGCGCCACTTGTTGTGCAGCGAGCGGCTGTGTGTGTGTGCTGAAGCGTAGCGGCATAAAAGGGATACTCGGAGGCATATTTACGACTTTGTTGGGGTGTGTGTGTGGCTGCACTGTTTGCCTCGCTTTGTTTTCATGCCTGCAGCTTTTTCCGTGTGACGCACATACACATGCATAGCGGTATTTATTTCTGGGTCGTAGACTTTTTCAATGAATTCGAAATTAAATGCAATTTATTTGCGCGAATACAAAAAAAAAAAAAATGAAAAGTGCAAACACAACTGTGTGTGTGTATGTGGTTGAACGCTGTAGGGAGAGGCGCTCGTGTAGGGCGTCAAATAAGAATTATTGTTGTGTGTGTTTAGATGTAGGATGGCACATACTGTGAAATATTGAAACAAATACCATAATTTCATTGATATGATTAAATGTAAATTTGTTTAGAAAAATATTAAAGAAAACCAAAATAGAATTGTCAGAAAAAAAATGTGTATATGCAAGTATAATCTGCGATAAGCGATGTTATCGTTGCATTGAAACGACAGGTAGAACAATGTGAACAAGTTGCTTATTTTTCGAGGCAAAGATTGCTCTTCACTAATAGTATTCGGATCGATACACCATAGCATATACCAAGTTGTTCAATAAGTTTTGGGAATTGATGAGAAAAACACAATTTTATGACTCAAAATACACTTTACTTTCCAATGAATATCAATACACTGGCCCCAAAGATCCTCCGATCTGTTGATCCCATCCCTGAAGTGAGAAACCGAAGGTCTGCAAAATACACTTCACCTTTACATTTAATTAAAAACGCTTGCCATGCAGACATTTTTTGAGTTCTGGAGACAAATGGCAGTCACCGGGGGCCAAATCTGGTGAATTCGGTGGATGCTCCAACAACAGGAACTTTAATTCCTGGATTATTGTCTTGATAAAAAAGGATTTTTTTCTTCTGCAAACCGAGTCTTCTTTCACGAATTTTTTCCTTCAACTGGTCCAAAAGGTTGCAATAATAATGAAAATTAATCATTTTACCAGTTTGCAAGTGATGCACAAACAAAATATCTCCCACATCCCAAAAAAATGATGCCATAACTTCCTTGGCCGATTTCCGGACACATCACTCTTTAACCTCTTGTTTTGATTCGGGATTATGACGATAGATCTAAGTCGCATCTACAATGATGAATCGACGCACAAAATCCACTTTATCTGTTTTAAAATGTTCCAAATGTTGCTGAGAAAGTCGCATTCGAATTTGTTTTTGTTCCATTGTCAGCGAATGCGTCAACCATTGTACACAAGGCTTTCAAAAACCCGAAATATCATATAAAATCACACTGTCTAATGTGATGTGTAGAGGCTCTATTAAATCTCTCACAGTCATTCAACGATCTTCCAAAATCATATCCTATATTTTGGCTATGATTTCTGGTGTTGACACGTTTTTTGGTCGACCTTCACATGAATCGTCTTCAAGGCTTTTACGACCACATTTACATTCAGCAATCCATCTTTCTACTGTTCTATTTGTAGGTGAATAATCATTATACGCTTTTAACATTCGTTCGTGAATTTCTTTTGGTGTTACACCTTCCAGAAATAAGAAATTTAATCACTGCGCGGTATTAAATTTTTTCCGTTTTAATAAAATACTGTGACACGGCGACACTAAAGGGTTTGTAAACAAAGAAGGATTTGACAGATTGAAGTGAATTTCGTATACGTTCATATGAAGAGTGTACCAACAACACAAAAAAAAAAAAAAAAAAAAAATTTTTTTTTTCTTTTTCCGATCATATTCGAATTCTTGTGTGGAATATTGTCGTCTTTTGTCGTTTTTTTTTGTTTTTTTTTTTGGGTCATAGGCAAGACCTTATAAATTC